ATATGCTCTAAGAATCTCTTATTCATCTTACATGTTATAATTGTGCCATCTTATTTATGAACTTTATAAATAAACAAAGATTTGCATAATTTATAATAATCTTTACAGAGTACTTTGTTTCTTCTAAGTACTGCTGCCAATAAATAAATGCTTGAATAATGGTCAAGATCTTCTTATCTAGCATGCTATAGACTTATTAAGTCTGATTAAACTTGAATAACCAGTAGATAACTGAATATCATCTGTCATCAAACAGCTGTAGCAATATTATGTCTGCAGTATGTTCCAAAGTATTCATTTCCAGACATATTTTATATTCTGAATTGTAGTAGTAGATGACAGATTCTCTGAAAAAGACCACTTTTAACATATGAAATGCTTTTCTGATAGCAGATATTAAAAGAAGTAATCTCTTCTTCTACTTATTTTCACTGTCTTTTAAGAGATCTGTCAACAGCACTACAATAACTAAGTACTTTTGTATAAATCTCTGATAGAAGTTTGCAAAACCCAGAAATATCTGAATATTATAGAAACTTTATAACAAGAGCCACTTCATAATTATCTGTACTTACTTTGGATCCATCTTAATATCTTCATTATCAATAATATATTCAAGATATAAGATTGTTTGTCTTTTGAAAGTATACTTAGCAAGTTTTATAAACAACTGGTATTTTCTTAAATACTTTATAACTAGTCTAATGTGTTTCTTGTGCTCTTTCTCTGAGACAGAAAAAATAAGAATATTGTCTAGATAAACTACACAGTATATGTCAATCAGATCTGCCAGTGCTCTATTAATATAAAACTGAAAGATTGCTGGTGCATTTAACAATCTGAAAGATATGATAAGATACTCAAAACTTCTAAACTTTATATAAAATATGATCTTTCATTTGTCTTCTTTGTTGATTCTAATCTAGTAATAGATATTATGTAGATTTATCTTGAAAAATTAGTGTGCTTCTGCTAATCAGCTTAACATCTTATTTATTAATGGCAAAGAGTAACAGTTCTTCACTGTGATTGTGTTAAGCTCATAATAATTAACACAGAGTCTGAGTTCTCTATTAGTCTTGAGTACAAACAATACTGGAGTTTCTGCCAGATTTTATAATGAATGTATTTAACTCTTGCATAACTTGTTCTTGATATACTCTTGTAGAATCTCTGTCTACTTGAATGATAGTTTATAGATTAGCATGTATGAGAGCTTGCAGTCATCTTTAAGAATAATTAAATAACTAATCTTTATTAATTCTAGCAACTCTGCTGCTTTTTCTTTTGAGAAAATATCTTTATAGTCTCTCAACCACTCAGATACTTCTGTCAGAACTTGGTTATTATCTGATGTAAAAATAGTATAAGAGAGTTTGTTCTTGATGCACACTGCTTGAAGAAATTTATCTGTATTCAGAAGTTTCACCATTTTCTTTAAGAGTTAATAATACTATATCTTGTTCTTTTAGTTTATATCCAGGTTGAAATCTTCTAATTATAGCATGTCTAGAACTATATTTACTTTAATCATGTTGATTACTGTGAATGTATATCTTATTATCTTTGTGGTTCTTATGAAGTTTATTATAGTAAGTTAAGTCTTGTAGATACTGTACCAATCAGTCTCAGCTCTGTTCAATATCTTAATAACTTCTATAGACATTTCTGATTAATTTCAGTCCAATTAAAATGCCAGTTTATAAAAGATACTATTTACTGTAATACCTGAGTTTAACAGTGCAGCTTGCTCTGTAAGATCATCTGATAATGTAGTCAGTGTGGCTAACAGACACATACTATGTCTGTTTGTCTTCTCTGTTGAATTAATATTCTATCTTTCTAATATTTAATCTGGATCTTGCATAAGCTTTATAATTCTAGCCTTTATCTGGTTCTCATTTTTTTTGTTTGTTTGCTGGAACTTGTTAAAGTTGTTTGTACAGAACTTTGCTTTATAGTCTGGTTAGCTATATCTTAGACAGAGCTTTTTATTTATTTGTTGTTTATGTTTCTCTTCTGATATTTTTGAAAGTGGTTTCACTAATATTTTCTTTATTTATGGATAATCTTCTTTATTGTCTTGTTGGAATGCATTCTTCTCTTAAGAGATAGAGATTTTCTGTTTCTTCTTATTTTAATTCTTGTTTCACTAACTTTGCTTCTTCTTTTCTAGAATAAACTCAATAAGTATTACTTGTTCTTGTAATTCTGTAATTATTTTTAGTTGATGTTGCAGTTTATTCAGTTCAGTCTGAATAATTAATCTGAGCTTTATCTGTAGAAAGAGTACACAAAAGAATTTATCTGATAGACTGTTCAGATTCTGTTTGAGTTCAGTAATGTATATGAAAAATAAGAGTATAGATTAGTTCTCTTGTTAAATAGTATTATAATAATACTGCATTATATCTTAACTACAAGTTATCTTGAGTTCAATATTGTTCTTATATTATATCTTGAATTTATTCCATAATATAAGTAGTTATTTTTTCTCTATTTCTAACATCTGTCAATGCATCTGAAGTTTGTTATAAAAATAACTGGATGTCTAATCAATTCTGACCACATCTGGTGCCTTTTGTAGTGATTTTCTCAGATGAAATTACTATCTTATTAAAACTAACTCTAGTTTACACTCATCAAGTGATTTGCTATGATAATAAGATGTCTTTAAAAACTTTACATTGTTGAAATTGTCTGACTTCTCTATTAATCATGTGTATAAGAGAAACTATAAAGAGAAATTGTTGTTTGCTATTTTCTGTTTGTATTCTATCTGCTTCTGCAGTCTATATCTCTTGTTTTGTTTATATATATCTGCTAGATTCTTTTGCAGACATGTCTTCTTTTCTTCAAAAATCTTCTCTCTTCAGATTTTATCTAATATATTGAGAGATGTATCTCTGTTATCTGTATTATCTGCTAGTGTCTTACTAGTGACAGCTTTACTGCTATCAGCATCTTCATCAATATTCATATTTTTTATATTAGTGTCTACCTCTGTCAGATCTGCAACATGAGATGTTGTTGTAATTTATCTTGTGGATCTTGGTGGCATTGTACTGACTTAGATAATCATATATCAGAGTGTTCAGAATATTAGAAGAACCAGTTATAGATTATGTAGGTTTTCTCAGAATTAGAAGTACAAAAGAGCTAAGTAGATATAATATCTGCAACTGATGAGAGAGAGTCATGTGTAGAATGTAGAGATTCTCTAACTAGAAGACTGAATGCTGAGATTTCCATAATCTGTGTAGATTATGAGATTCTTATATGTTCAGAGTTGGGGTTACATGAGTACCTCTAAACATCTGATGTTGTCCAATGCTTGATTAGTCTAGGTCTATATTTGTAACAGATGCAGAAGTCTGCACATTCAAGAATCTACAACACTTCATTAATAAGAGGAGAGTTACAACAATATACAAAAAATCATCTTGATAACTTTATGCTTCAGAGTTCAAGATCTCTGAAAGAGAGAATAGTGTTATAAATGTATGTCTAGACCAACCTTGCATTAGATGATGTCAGATGTTCAGAAAACATCACATAGCCCATATATCTAAATGTATAAGAATCACACAATTCTTACAGATTGTGGAAATCTCAGTGTTCAGTTTTCTAGTTAGCAGATCTATATATTTTATGCATGACTCTCTCTCATTAGTTGTAGGCATTGCATTTACTTAACTCTTTTGTACCTTCAAAACCTAGAATGACCCATGAAATCTATAACAGAGCTTTTTAACACATAGAATATATAGATCTGCTAACTAGAAAACTAAATACTGAGATTTCCACAATCTGTAAGAATCATGCAATTCTTATAAATTTAGAGGTATAGGCCATATAATGTTCTCTGAACATCTGATGTTATTTGATGCTTGGTTAGTCTAGGTCTATATTTGTAACAATAGGTGCAAGACTAGCTTTTTCAGTTACTGTCTCTCATGGTTCTGTTTTTCCTATTCTTTTACTCATAAGCATCTATCTTGTAGAATGAAACAAAGAAATATGTAATATTATAGGCCAAGCTGAAGTTACTAACTAAGACTCTATATACACAAACATATTGCTTAGGGAAAGAGAAAAAAGATGGTAGGCAAGAATATGTACAATATATTATCTATATTTGTATGTGATACTAAGCCAAAAAGAGAATAGTATGAAGGTCTCTTACACAGCATGCTGTTGAGGGCTCAGTTCAAGAAGATCTTCTACATGGTATGCTATCAAGAATTTGGTCTGAGAAAAGTAGGGGTTCAACTCTCTACACAGCTGCTGATTAGTATAGTATTTATATTTAGTAGAAAAATCAAAAAAATCTACTTAATAAGTATAAGAGATTTTAAAACTCTACTTTAAAAAAGATTTTAAAAGCTTTTAAAATCTCTCTAGTTTATGCTATAAAGATTGAAGCTGCTATTTCTCCAGTCAAGGTAAAATTTAATAGACTATATAGAACTATGCTTATAAACTATTAAAAATACCAAAAGAATACACAATCAGAAAATGAGTATCTACTAGCTTTCCATCTTATAATAATGGTGTTGATTCTGATTGGAGAAGGTTTTTAGACTGAAATTAATCAGTATAATTTCCATTTGCGTCTAGGGGCCCAGCTTTGTGCTCGCATCCCATGCAGTTTAGCGTTATCCTCATTAGGTCTAGCGCCACCTGTTCTGGGATTCCGTCTCAACTCCGTACAGGCCGCCGTGATCTCACCTCGCGTCGCCCGCCGCGACTTACACTCACCCACGGGGCAGCAGGGATTATTTCGCCATATCGTTGGCCACGAAGTATCAACCAGCTTTCCGTTTTCATCTCCATCAGTCCATTTTCGGTACAACACCTTTCTCCGCCATCCTCTTTCGAGAAGATCTCCCGTTGCAACGTCAAGTTAATTTTTTTTTTCCCTTATCTTCCTGGTTTGGTTTCTGTGATTCTGGAAATCGCACCCTTCCCTTTACCTCGACCTCCGCTGTGTGGTTGTCATGGATAACAAGGTCGACGATGACAAGATTGGGCCTGGAGTGGAACTCTGCGATCCCGTCCGCCTGAAGCTGCTAAAAGAGCTGCAGGACATTGTGGGCCGAGTTCCTCAGAAGGCTCAGGCTTCTTTCCTCCTCTGCGATCTTCAGTACCTGCAAGACTTGCGCAAATCGTCTATCAATCCTGTTGTGTTGGAAGCTGTGCAGCGATCGCTTTCCGACTCGAAAGTAGATGAAATCGTGGCACAATGTTAGTTTGAGATGCCCTTCCTGAGTTGTTGTCATGATTGACATATCCATTTTACCTCTGGCAGGGTGTGAATTATCCCGTCCACATTCCACCGCCTCTCCTGCCCGATCCCTCTCGCTATCACACGGTCATCCGAAACCATCGCCACTTAAACATCTAGCTGTCGCAAACACCAAAGCACAGGCTCCAGAAGAGCAAGAGGAGACTGAGATTCCGTCTCAACCTTCTAAGCGAAAACGGAACGGCTCTCGGAGTCGAACCTCCTGTTCAAGCGGGAAGAGCAGATCTCAATATGTCAGTGACGAGGTCAGTTTGCCTTCTTACTCTGTTACTGACTGAAGTTATATTCCATTTCTGACAACAGGCTATAGTGTAAGAACCGAGACGCTCACAGATGCGTCGTCACCAAACTCGCAGGACCGATAGACGCTGCACATATCGTTCCTTTCTCTCTGAATAGAGAGGACCGGCGAGCGAGGTTTTTCAGCTTGCTCAAAACTTTATGGTCCCAACGCATCGAAAAATGGAAAAGTCTCCTTGAGAACGGCACTGAGTTTGTTGAAAATATGATCTCTTTTACTCCCACCATCCATCGGTACCACTCAGCGGGGCTGTTTGGTCTTCAGCCCATCGAAGCCTCTTTGGACGGTAAATCACTGAAACTCAAGTTTTACTGGCTTCCGCAACGTGAAACCCCCAGCGATACTATGACCGATATCACAGATATCCCAACCCTTCCCGATGATGTCGAGTTGGAAGATATCAAAATCTGCAATGGCAAGGATGGGCACCTCATCAAGTCAGGCGAAGTCATAGAGCTGACAACATTGGACCCTGAAAAACGACCGCTGCCAAATTGGGATCTACTGGAAATGCAATGGGTACTGCAACGTATGACGGCCCTGAGGGGAGCCGCAGACTTACCTGACACAGTCCTCGATGAGTCTGACGATCTCGCGAGCTTCGGGTACTCTGAGATGGAGGCAGACAAGATTTTCGATGAAGGACTGGGTGGGTGGTGCAAGCAGGGCGTTGATGAGGAGGCCATTGAGGAGGACTGCTGGTCTGGCAGGGTCAACAACTGGATTGACACGCAGCAGATCCAGCCACAGATTATTTGATGTTGATTTGTCACATGGTCTTCCAGGCGATTGCGTGGCTGTTGGGTGGGTAGGTGCGTGCGTGCACGCGTCACTTTTTGACACCAAGAACTACCAGAAACAGCTGCACTGACACAAATCAAAATTTTATGGGAGAATTAAATAATAAATATGTTAAACAAACATCAAGTAAAAGAAAAAGAAGAAAAATCAATAAACAAAAGAAGTATTCAAGTCAACAACAATTATTTAGAATTTGTTCAATGATTTCAACTATATTATCTTCTCTAAAAACAGAGAAAATTAAAGCAAAATGAAATGCACCTGTTAGGAGCCCAGCTAGGCACTGTAGTAAGAGAATCCTTGTTGCCAACTAGGTAGCTATAATAATGAAATACTAAGACAGGCTCTAGAAAGAGGGCTCAGAGCAAAGGCTTACTATATACACACACTAAGCTTCTGTGTCAGATAAATATTTATTCTTTTAGCAAATTCTCTGTCTAGAGTTTAGGACTTCACTTTAGAACAATCTTCCCCCAGTTCACCAGCTTTGTCAGAAGAGTTGTAATCCTCACATCATCTCTCTACCAGCTCCAGACATGCCCTCATGCTAGCAGATCATCAGCTTTCTTATTCAGAAGATATTCTTCTAGCTCTTAAGACTCTAGCTATTTATCTAACTGTCTCAGGGATCTAGACTTTGTAGAATTCACTGTGTGAAAAATACAAATCTTGTGCAGGCATCTCTTCAGATTTCAGACAAAATACTATATATAATTTAAATTGAACTTTAGCTATTTAATTTAATATTGAAGCTTTCTTCTACAGATTTAGCTTATCAGAATCTTATTTACTTTCTATTTATTCTTATTATAGATTATAATAAAATTAAAAGAATCTATACTCTGGTCAGAGAGAGGATTATTTGCAGCTTTCCTAAGCTTATTCAGAAAGAACATGAGATGGATTCTTATAAAACTTGATAGTCAGAGCTAGTAGCTATTATCTACCTTATTTACTATCTCAAAAGAGTCTTTATTCTACTCCACCAGCTTTCTGCTTAATTAACCAATATTATAGTTCTTCAAGATAGAAATATCTTATTTTCAATACTGAAATCAGATTTATAGTAATACTTATTTATCTAAATCTTTATAACTCTCTGTATGTTCTTTATATTTTGTTAAGCTTTATTTCACATCTTTTATAAGAATTTCATTCATCTCTAAGTCTTTTTCTGGCTAATTCTTTTGTTCTGGAACAATAAAGCTTTCTCTAATAGCTGTTCTTTTTAATTAAAAAAGGTTCTTAGTTTATATTTATTTACTATCTTGAATAGTGAGATTTCAGTACTAGTGCTAATTATAGCTACTATGTGGTCTATTATTAGTAGAAGGTTATTGTAATTATTCTAGTAATGATTAATATATAATCTCAGACATGTGGTCAGATACTAATTTGTAATCTCAGTCTGCTTATTTATTTAAGTATAATAAGCTGTAGAGAACTTTAGTCTAACATTCAGAATTCTTCTAATCTTTTTTCAGAATTTTGAAATAAACTAAGACTCTTGATTTGAGGTAATAATATTTGAATCTTTATAGTACTAATAGTACTCTTTCTGTTATAGATCTTGTGGCATAACAGCTGAAGGCACAGAATAATTGGATGAGATCTGACAAGATAAAGTCACAGACTATTGTAGAGAAACCTTAGGACAGAAAGTCACATGACCAGCAATAAGACTGATAAGATGACTGATTACATCAAGTATAATAGAATTAATTGAAGATTATAGCAAGCATACTGCAGTAGAATGAATAGAATAGCTTAGCAGAACTATCACCAGAAGCATCATGTATATAAGAATGCTTATTACCAGAAATCTAATAAACTTGTTTATTATAATCAATCTTTCTACCTATCTTACAGATATCTTTAAATCAGATACTCTCATATCTTGATTACTTTTATATTATTAAAGTTCTGTAATACTGTATGATTGTATCTGATTCTGCTATTCTTGAAAAAGTATGATAGTCTTATTCTGACTCTAATATATCTGTATGAAAACCCTTTGTTATTAGAGCAAGACTGCTCACTTAACTGAAGCATTATTAAACTATTAATTATTATCTCTAATTTGTTACAACTCTTCTTAGAAACTTTGATTCTTACTATAACCTAAGAATCTAAAAGAGAACTGCAGGTTGCACAATATCTTGAACCCAACATAACATATTAATTATTTCTAACTCAGAAGAGAATACATCTGAAATCTCAGAAATTGCATACAAAGAAAGAACTTTCTGTATTATATTAAAGTATAAAGATATAATCTCATTCTATGTCAAGATCTAACAAAATATAGAAACCATATCTGTATTCAAGATATCTGCTATCAATATTCAAGATCTTATAAATAGAATCTTGCAGCTTGAACAGCTTATCAAGAAGCTTAAAAAGCAGAACTGTGAATTAAAAAATTATAATAAACAGCTTGAGACTCAAGTCATGGCCATTTCATTCATCAGACAATAAGAAAAGAAAGATAAAGCTAAAGTTAACTCACTAGAACTCTTCAAGAGTAAATAAGAAAAATTATAAGCTTTCTTAAGACAACTGCATATCTATATAGATATGAAAAATGAAGAACTCAGCAACAATAAGAATAAGATAATAATAGTAGTATTATATCTTTGCAGAGTAGCATTTAATTAGTTTGATATCTATTTATAAAATTACTACAAAAGAAGTAAAATTGATCAGAATAACAACATGCTTAAGATTATTAATAATTACATTACTTTTATACAGACATTAAAAATCACTTTCAGAGAAGTTAAGAAACAAAATGTAGCAGCTTAACAGTTACATTATATATAACAAAAGACATTATTACAAGACTATACTATAAAATTCCAGCAAGTCTGTGTTAATACTGATTAGAACAATGAAGTTTTAGCTGATACTTTCTACTAAGAACTATTCAATAAAATTAAAGATAAAGTAGTGTAATTAGAGAAACAATCACACATTCTGATCAAGATAATTAAAGTAGCAGTCAGGATTGAAAACCAACTTTATAATTAAAAGATGGAAAAGCAAGAGAAAGCACCATAAAAATAATCCAGTTTATTAAACCACACTGAAAGTTAAGACTGGAACAGAAATATACAGCTGGATTCTTATAAACACACATCTATAGAGCTGGACACAACAAAAGTTAACATGCTTGATGAGAAAGAAAAAAAGTGAAGATAGAAAGAGAGATTATGCTTTTATTATACTAAGTCTGGATATCAAGCAAAGCAGTGCAGTACAAAGAAGCCAGATCAAAAAGATAAGAAACTCAGAGCAATCTCAAAAAAAAAATAAAGAAAACTCTAACACTAAATAATATCTCTAAGCAATAATTCAAAAAAAGTAAACTAAAGAGGAACTTTAACAACAGTTTAAAGAGATATTTAAGAAACAAATTATGAAAGCTTACTTGAAGCTACTTCAGCAGTCAGAAAACAAACTAAAATACCAAAACAAGCTGAATGATAAGAAATGAAAGTTATATAAAGAATTATATGTGAGAACAAGAAGTGAACCAAGTAATGATTGAGAGATTTGACTACTTGACTGTGAATATCACTACAAACAGAAAATAAATAAAATCCAAAATCCAAAGTACAAGAAACATGTCCAATATTCAATCTATAAATGTTCATGCAAGCTTCACCAGAAATAACAAGAAGAGTTTGAATGATGGACATGAGTTATAGAAGATTTTATATATTATAGAGAGTATAATTATAATATCAAGAGTTGCCAGTGTTGCAGATGCAACATTAAGGAAAAAGAATAAAAAATATCAGATTTACAGAATATCTTATATGTGAAACACCCAGATTACACCAGAATTTATTGGAGCTTTTGCTATAATGATGATTACTCTATTTACAAAGATGAAAAGAATGATGGATACCATCTATAATCATTAAAGAAACTGCAAGCAACTAGAAAGCAAGACAACAGTAGTAATAAAGAATATTAGTCAAGCAAAGAACAAATAACTATGTCAAATCTGAAGAAAGAACCAAGCTGAGAAATACTAGAATTTGAGAAACACAAAGACAATATCATAAAGAAACTCAGTCTTATAGAAAGTGTGACACTTGAAGAGAGAAAATACTTAATAACAAGAACACTACAGATCTAAGACAACTAATTACACTGGACCACATGTGAAGAAGAAAACAGATTACTAGCAATAATAATATGTAACTAGTACTGGAATGAAAAACAAAAAGAGATAGAAGAACTGAACCACTTATACTATAATAAATTTGAGTACAAATGCCAATGCAAATTTCATAAAGATAAAAGATTTTGAAAAATAACAAGATTTCTGTATAATTTCAAAGAATGTGAAAACTGTACAAAATACAGAGACAACTAATATATACAGAAAATATACAAGAAATAATGTACTGATAAAGATAATTACAAAATATATAAATAAGTACTCAAGATAACTTTTGTTAATTTGAAAAATAAGTAGACTGCTACAAATAAGAGCCTGTAAGCAGCATAAATAGATAAGTAAAATTATTAGCTATTAATAAACAAATCTGTCATCTTAAAGTTATAGTGGCCTTACTTGAATCAAAGCAGACAACAATTTTAGTGAACTCAGAAGTGACTGAACTATTCATTAACAGAAGATTTACTAAACAAGCTGATATTATAAAGTGAATAAAGAAATATCTCTACTAGTTATCAGAACTAGGAGAAGGAACTCTTGATAGAGTTGAAGAAGAGATATATCTTATTAAGATAAGAATAGAACAATACTACAAGAAAGTATATTTTCAAGTAATGAATCTAGAGAACTATAATATAGTCTTGAGATACTTTTGATTGAAACAGCACAATTCAGAAATTAACTAGTAAGAAGAAAAGATTAGACTGACAAATTATAAATGCTCTCTCAAACCAGTATATTATAATTAGAGATTTATACTCAGAAA